CACCGATTCTCTATTAGGTTTGTACAATTTTTGGGTGGGGGTGCCATATGGAACTCTTTCCCATTTTGTATTGCCAACTTTATTTATTAGTTTTACATCTTTTTTTTTAATCATTCATTTAAATCTGTATCATAGATGGCTCGGACCCAAAGAAACAAAGCAACAATGGGTCATCTTGGGTTATTGAAAGCAAGGCTGGCAAAATTGCGACGTGAACTTATCACGCCCAAGGGAGGAGGTGGTGGTCCAGGCGAGGGTTTTGATGTGGCCAAAACTGGTGATGCTAGAATTGGATTTGTTGGTATGGTTTTAAAAATTTGTGGTTATATCTTTCATAAGTAGTCAAAGATGATGACTGAGATGAAAATGGGATTGCACGCCCAAGAAATGGTAAAAAACAAAACTTGTGATTAAATTATCAGTGTTTTTGAATTGCTTACATCAACTTAAGGCATATCCTCATAAATTGTGTATTTTATGTCATTTCATATGATTTTTGAGTTGTCCTTATGTAGTATTCGTAATAATATTAGGAGCACGTTTTGGGATTAATGATCAAAATTAAAATTAGTAATATATGTTAACCAACATTTTATGAATTAAGGGTTAACATTGTAATTCTGCAATATAAAAGATATATAGTAGGATCTGTTCAAGTGTCCTTATTTTTTTACATGAATTATGAGCTGTTCACCAACTCTTATTGGAATTCTTCCCTTAAACATTATACATGTTTGAATTAGGTGTTATGTTAGAACTTCTTGATGCGAAAGTGATTGAATTTAAAACATGGGATTATGGGTACATAGGGGTTGGGGAAACAGAGGTATGGTTCTGTTTCTTTAGTTTGTGCCTTTTATGCATTGTGTTGTTGCAATAGTTAGTTTGGTGCATTGTGTGTGGGTGCATGTAGTAAAAGAGGACCCATGTGGCTAAATATCAGTTTGTGTTCTTCAGGTGTGGCTGTAGTGCACTTTCCTAGGGTAATTGTGGATGTATGGGGCCTTGTTTTCCACATAGTGTTAATAGCAAGTGTCTGTTTGGGAGTTCTGCTTGCAGGTAAAGGAAAGCAGTGTTTGTGTGTCCATTTGACTGAAGTTAACTCCATTGAATGAATGTGTTTACTTGGCTTAATAATGTTCTCTTGCAGTGATTCAGATTAATTATATCTAACATAAATTGTTAAAGACTTGGGCATTAAAAATGAATAATGGATTACCAAGTGAAAGAAGTGAACAAAATGTTAAGATAAGTGAACTATTTCAACTAGATTATGCTACAAGATTAATGCAGTAAACTGAATTAGGTGCAAGAAATATTCTTGATTGTGGTTAAAACAAAGATTATACTCTGTGAAAGGAGGAAAAACATCCATTACAATACAATTACATATTAGCATGAAATCAACATTATTTCATATACTATTATTAATTTCATTTATAATTATTTCCATAATACAAAGAGACAAGTAGCGTAAGGTTGTAGCTGTTAACAAGGTGTTTGGGGTTCATTAAGAGACAAGTAGCGTAAGGTTGTAGCTGTTAACAAGGTGTTTGGGGTTCATT